TTTAATAAAACTGGATAATGAATTGAGGGCTGGGCAGAACCAGAGAGGACTCTGTGTCAGCATTTGTTTTGATACTAATTTGTCAGTAAAAGTTTTTTTTTCGTTGTTTGTAAATAACTTATTTTGTTGTTTTCGTAGTGTACATGTTTTGTATCGTTTGAGTCTACGTGCTTTGGCTGCGAGTTTCTGTTTTAGTGTATCAATTATAGTGAATTTTAGTGTATTCTGTAATGTGTGTGTTGTGATGATCATGTTTTGTATGTGTTTTGATTTTCTTGAAACTGTTTTTCAGTTGTTTCTTTAATTTGGGTGTTATATTGTTTTTAATGTATTGTGTCAGCCTGCCTAATTGCTGTCTAATGTCATTTATTTGTGTTTCTATTCTTCTCTGCCAGGCAAGCTTGTGATAGAATTGTGTTTTGTATGTGTTCATCTGCGATTGTATTTTCAGTCCATGGTGTGTTACTACTGTGACTGCCCCAGCATAAACTAATGTATGAATGTCTGAGAGTGTAGAAATTGAATGAATGTAGTTTGATAGTAATTGAGTGTTTACATAATTTAGTGTTTTTCCTACTACCTTTGACGTGATTTTCGGTATTCGTGGTCTTTGTGTGGGATTTGTGCCTGTATATTTAGTGAGTGTTTCCTGAAATATAAGTGAGAGCGTATTAACTAATTCTATGTATGTTATCAGTGATGGATGAGGAAGTGCCTGTAGTATCATTAGTTGTAGTTGTTGTATGTGTGCTATTTACATTACATTTAGTGGAGCACTCCCTCTGACCTGTAGCATTAAATGCTACTGGCTTGAGGTACTCCTCTTTTAATTAACCTGCTTCGCATATGCTTTGCAAATATGTGTGCTATTATCAATGCTTGTTGCTGGATTATCCTGACAGGTTATGTGATCTTCATTAATGTTAAGTGTTTCTGTCTGTTGATTTATTTGATCAGCAATCTGGTTATTTGATAAGTTCAAGTGTTGTTTGTGGGATAAGGTTGTTGTGTATAATTGTTCTTTTTTGATCAACGACTCTTTGTTCGGTGACAGTGAGTGAGGATATTGTTGTGTGAATCTATGGTGTAGTTGTCTGTACACTGTCATATTTGTTTCGAGTCTTGTGATGGTGTAGTAAGTACAGTTGATAAACTCGTTCATTTCTGTTGTCCATTTCATCCGTTGGCGTGGTTTTCCAGCCTTTGTGGTCTGTGGATGCATTGACACAAACACCAAGGCTATGTTGATTCCTCACATCTGTTGAGGGCATTGCAGTAGCCATGCTTGGGCCGGCGCTGCTTTCACCACCGGTAACCAAGGGAGACTGTGGCCTATTTTTTGAACTTGAACCTCTGCCTAACCCACGAACGCGGACCTTGTTAACCCAGGCGACGTCCGAGCTGGTATCACACTTTGATCTGGTTACTACCATTATGAATAACTCCACAGAATGTGGGTTTGTCACTCTTAGCTTCATTTCTTTCCATAGACCTTACTGGCATGGGTGTCCCTACCAGGAGCTTGTGCTCCAGCCTGCATTGCCCTATGGATCAGTAAAATTACTGGGCTCTCCCATCACGACCATGTGGTGACCGCGGGAATATTATTATTATTATTTGAATTTTCCTGTATACGCTGTATGATTTTGCAACCTTTCAAAATAATTTATTAAATAAAACCTTGATATTTAATGGTTAAGAAGTATGCAGTTCATATAGGCTATGACTCGGAGTGAGCGATATATTGGACGTATGCATCAGAGTAGCTAGCCGTAGATGGAATGGCCATACACGCGGGGGGAAGTAATGCCTTCCGGGAGGTCTTTTAAGGGAAACTGGCCCCTATTCAGGCGTTACAGACGTGGAGAAAACCCGGAAAACTCTACGTTGTTTCCTGTTGCAATTTCTGTCGCTGAAAAGAGATTTTCATTTGAAAAACCTCTTCAATCGGGTTAGATTGAGAAAAATGAATGATAAAAACTTCAAATTGATATTTAATATTTGTAAGATACATTTCAAAAGAATTCTGTACTTCTATTTTCCTTCTTTTGTAATTCTTCAAAAAATTAGAAAAATTTTTCATAATAAATCCATTTTAACACAATTTTTATCATAACCCTATTCAAAAATATGAAATCGTCTGTAATCAATTAATTTATATATGAAAATTTTATTCTGAAGCATCATCTTCGTTATTCCAGTTTACTTTATTAATCCTTATAGTAAGAGACGATAAAAATACAGTATGTATACATGTATTTATATATATTTCTTACTCTATACGGATATATTATTTGCATGTACTGTACATCATTTCAAAATGAGTTTAATTAAAATAAAAGTAAAAAACAAAGCTTTTTTACAAATCTGGGATTAATTTCATATTTAAAATATAAGTTTACATTTCATGTCGCTTCTGTTAGTATACGATAAAATTTAGGATTTTCGAGAATACTGTACAAAAAGATCAAACTGTCCCAAAACATTACAATGTTTTGGGACAGTTTGAGTACAACAAAGTACAGTTTTATAGACTCATTGTAGAATCTCTCTATATGTTGTATTTAAATTAATATATTAATTTTAAAAGCTTACCGGTACTTTATTTTAATATAAGATAACATTGATGTTAGTAACAATGTGAGAAGTTTCAGGCGATTTTGAAGTTATTTGTATACAGCAGCGATTTTAATTGTGCGAGAAATGCATCCTGGAAAGTCCTAATCAAACATGGACTTGCGAAATCGCTTTTGCATAAGTTTTATACGTTGTAAAGACTTTATCAAATGATACTTGACATTGTAAAATAGCTTGTGTTGTAGCTGGTACTGGGTTCTGAATACTGGATAAAAGTTCGAGTATCAATAAGAATATCCGAAGTTCCTAAAAGCACAAGGCTCTAGGTCAGAGATTTTCAACCAGAGTGCCACGAGATGATCGTAGGTGTGCCGCAAAATTTTCTGAAGATTATTAAATAAATTATTTTTGAAAGAAGCTTAAAGAATAAAAAGTGTACCCGTCAAAATTAAAACTTCTTTAAATTGATTATTAGAGTTTTTCATTGTTGTAATAAATAAACGTAGAATTTAGAATGTTTTAGAATTTAGGTCAAGATCATAAGGACAGAAGAATTGACAAAAGGATACTCATTTTAATTTTTTGTTGTTGTAAATAAATCAAGAGAATAATTAATAGTACGAAAAATTCTAATTTAACATCGATAAAAAATTAACATCTTTATTAAGCACATTATTTATATTTAGGAAGAGTCTTACAACCATCCATGATATTTGTCTGTAAAATGTGAAAATATCACTTTCAGCGATTAAAATTCTAAGAACTAATGTAATTGGCAGTGTTTCGTTTTGTTAAAATCACCAAAAGTGTTTTATAAAAATTAAAATATGAAAAGTAACGTTAAGAATAACGATATATATATAAATATTTATATATAGGCTATGTAAAACCGGATTGAATGTGTTTTCCAAAGATACAAATTTGTGAAACATTAAGTTTAGCAAACAAAAGTTTAAATAATTACTTTTGAAAAAAAGCTGACAAAATTGTCTTCTGAAGTTTAAAAAAGAAATGCTTCACTTCTGTAATGATAGTGTTTTAATTTCTAATCTCTGCACATTTATCTTCGATTTCACCTGTAAAATATCGTTTGTGTTGGTGTAATTTCAATTTAATTTTAATGAAAAAAAAATATAAAATAACTTACTTTGCTCTAATCCCAAACAATTTCCCCATTCTTCTAAAGAAACTTTATGGTCATCGTTGGAGTCACAAGAATCCAAGAATGGAGCAATGCAATGCTCTAACGAAACTAAAGGTGCGCGGATTGGAAAGAATTCGTGTCTAGAAACACTCCTGATATAGAAAAAATTAAAATTAAAATTTTATTAATTGACAAAAAATAATATGAGACGGTTCTTACCTGTCGTGGGGATGAGAATCCAAATCGCAAAATTTCCAGATAACAGCATTAACCCATTTTCTGCTTTGGCTAATTTCTGCTTCCTTTTCCAACTCTAAATATGGAGGTTTTAATTCTTCTCGTCTAGCCAGATCTTGCATGATGTTAAACAACCACTCTCTCATTCTTCTGGGAAAATCCTCTAATTCTTCTTTGCTGCATTCTGGGATCTCTGGAAAATTAATGATAATTTTCTCATACAGTAATTTGTTTATTAATAAAATGAATAAAAATTTTGACAAAATATAACTCAATTTAAGCTTTGATTTAAAATGTAACTCAATTTTTGCAGTTTTAATGATTGCAATTAAAATTCCTTTTATTGGAATGAGATTTTATTTCGGCATTAATTTGATATTTCATATCTTGTTCTTTATGAAACAGATGTCGAATTAATAATAAAAAAATGAAACTAATTTTAAAATCATTATCTTAATAGTTAACCAGCATATTTGATCTTTAAGGAGACATTTGCTTGAGTAAAACTCATCTTTAGAGTTAAATTAAAATTCTTTTAAATTTAAGTACTGTAAAATTAAGCGATTTTCAAAACAGATAATTGTAAGTGAAACTTAAGTAAAAATATTTTGTATTTTGATCACTTTATTATTCATTTTTTTTGTGATCGCATTATAACTTGAACTGAAAACAACTTTTGTTTTATTCTTTATCCTTTGACTATTAAGCTTGTTAAACTAAGTAAAAATAAAAAAGGCCGAATCCATAAAAAAAAGACCACACAAATTTAACAGATGATGTAAGACGACGAAACGGAATACCTTCAATAAATAAATGATGTAAAAAACGGAGGAGATGCTATACACTGCAACATTTTTACTTTTACTTAAAATGTTAGAAGAGAAGGAGTTTTCTGTATTAATTAAATATTGAAATATATAGGCCCTAATAATTATATAAATTACTTCTATAATAAAAAATATAGGAATTTTTTAATTAATAAAACTTTATTTTTGCTATGAAAAATTCCTCTTTTCTTAAACAAATTTTGCTTTCAAAACTATAACACAGACAACAATCGAATAGATTTATTTTATTTTAAATTACCGCAGTGTGCCATTTAAAAAAATTCGAGTGCTGTTAAAATTTAATAAAACTATGAATCGAAATGTCATAGTTTAATAGAAAAAATATTGTATAGTTTTATACAAGTATATTTTTATAGTTTAGCAATTTAACATACAGCATATTACAACACCCTGTAACAAATTCTATACAATTCTGACATTAGCACATTAACATATCTGATGAGTTCAGATAGGGATATCAAATCTTCGGCATTTTAAATCTTCGAAGTTTTGAAAATTATGTTTCAAAACTTCCAAGATTTAAAATACCGAAGATTAAAAAAAAGAAAAGTTTTAATGCCAACGTTTTTGCCGTAGTAATTTATCGTTACTATAAATCAGTGGTTCCCAACCTTTTTTCATTAGCGTACCCCGTGACATGCCATATCTCTAGATTGTACCCCGTGACATGTCATATCTCTAGATTGTACCCCGTGACATGTCATATCTCTAGATTGTACCCCGTGACATGTCATATCTCTAGATTGTACCCCTCATTTAAGAAATTTAGTGAGTAACCGTATTGTTAATTTTACATATTGTAACTATAAATTAAAGAAAAAAAACTAAAAGAAAAAATGTATAATAAAGTTGTGATTGTTGCAAGGAACATTATTTATCTAATAATTTTTTAATACTATTAGTTTGTGATACATAATATATTATTTTTTCTGCCATAATAACAAACTTTTTTCTGTACCCCTAAACAACCTATCGCGTACC